TTGATATAATAAACTCCCTTGAAGCCATCACCACAGTCAAGTTAATCAACCTTTTTATCACCTTTAATATTCACTCACCTCTTCTACTCTCCTTCATTGTCACTGCTTTTTACCTACCTGTTACCACTACATAGCAAATAACTTATTTTAGAATCAAATTCACTGTGACAAAATGAATATCATTTGCTCTTTTAATCTGTAATTGATGACTCTCATTTTATAATATCACAAGAGGGATTTCCTCTTATGTAGAAAACTTAGGGTCCACAAAAGAATTAAGTTCTTTATGTATTTATGGTAGACTAAGATCATGGAAGAACTGTCCCCCACTCCCCTGCTACCCCAGGACAGGAGTAAACACCCAAATGCAGAGGAGGTGACGGAGTGTGGAGAGATGGTACCATTTCAGTAGGAGAATAGTGGGTAACAAGAAGTTCCTCAGACTACTGAAAACGGAGATACCATATGACCTGGCAATTCCACTCCTAGGGATCTACCCAAAGCACACAGAAACATTGATTCAAAAGCACACCTGTACCCCTATGTTTATTGCAGCACTATTTACAATAGGTAAAATCTGGAAACAACCCAAATGCCCAAATATAGATGACTGGCTCAAGAAGATGTGGCATATATACACAATGGAATACTATTCAGCAATCAAAAAAGATAAACTCATGCCATTCACAGCAACGTGGATGGAACTAGAAGGAATTATGCTCAGTGAAATAAGCCAGAAGGAAAAAGAAAACTATCGGATGGTTTCACTTACAGCAGGAATATAGGGGAACCCAATAAGATTTCAGTGTAAAAAAAAACAATAACAGCACAAAACACAACAAAGCAAAAAGGGACAATTATAAATCAGAGCCATACCGCAGGGGAGGAGGAGGGAGAGGGAGCAGAGGGAAGGAGGGAGGAGCACAGGAGACTGAGGTGATGGTGCATGGGTGCATTGGGGAAGGAAACTCTATGGGGACTACACCTGAGAGAGTGGGGGGGGAAGCAGATTTTGTTTAAAAATGAGCAATGATTAAAATTTTTTTTAAATTAAGAAAAAGAAAAGCTGGATACACAAAAACAGAAAGTTTAATAAAACTTGCACAATCTCCAAAAAAAAAGAAAAGAAAAGAAGACCAATCCTGCTCGTGCCACTGGAGGAGGCAATCCTTGATGCTACTATAGAGGAGGAAATGCCTTAAAAAAATGCTAGCAGCTGGTAAAGTCTAAACAATAGAAAAATAAGAAAGAATGAAGGGGGGCAGGAAGAAAGATGAAAGAAAAAGAAGAAGATATTAAGAGTAATAGAAAAAAAAAACCAGAAAGCACTGAAGTAGGTCTTTGGCTAAAGACAGAGGAAGAGTGACTTTTGAGTAAAGAAACCAAAGATATCCACAAAGGGATAAGAAGCATCAAACAAAGGAGGGAGGCGACTCAACTCTAATGAGACTCCTCGAGTTTCGTCCCATGACCAGGCCTGGAGGCTGAACAAAACTTTCCCTACTACGGAAATGAGCAGATTTTTTATTTTTTTGTCAAGTTCAATAAGCCTGAAATTCAGCAGAGCTGACTTGGCAGATGAATATTGTTAATCGATGCTGAAAAGTTTCCCAATCAGACTAGCAATTCACCTGCCACACAAACAGCTATTCATCAATAAAAATGAAAGGAATTTTTGGAATTCTGGTTAGTAATGAGCTCCTAGTTCTGAGTCCCTTCAGTTCCAAGTGAAGGAGTTATTGTATCCATCCACCATGACATCCTTCTAGGCTGTTCTATCGATGGCAATAATTCAAATGGTGACTCCCCCCTCCCAGGAACTTATTCATTTAGATGACAAATCAAGATGTTCTAATCACCTAATTGTGATTTTTTTCTTCATTAACAGACTTTTCAAGGTTTTGACTCAAAGTAGCCAAACAACTTTGCTTAGGTGCATCTTATTCTGAAAAGCAAGGGGGGAAAAACAGGAGAAACATCCCTCTTTCTAAAATAATCAATTTTATTTATCTATAGCTTAAAATGTGACAAATGTACACTTCTATGTAACCATAGCAATACTAAGATATGGAGTGTTCACATCACTCCCAAAGTGCAGTTTCCCTTTTCAGGGAAACCTCTCCCCCAAATTCTGCTCATTAGACAACCACTGCTTTGTCTTCTGTCACTGCATTTTAGTGTTGTCTTTTCTGGAATTTCATATAAACAAAGGAAAACAAACTTTTTTTAAAAAAATGCAACGTAATGCTTTGAGATTCTGTCCATCTTTTATGAATATCAGTAGTCTATTCCTCTTCATTGCTAAATAGTATTCTATTGCTTGAATATGCCACAATGTGTTTTTCCATGAAAAATGGAGTTTTTTTCTATTTTGGAGTACCATGAATGTTAATATATTGAAGCAACTGTGAATATTAGCATCCATTTGAGTACATATACTAAATAATACTCTCATTTCTTGTGGGTAAATAACTAAGGGTGGAATTGCTGTGATAAGTATGTTTTTTAACTTTATGAGAAAATGTCAACTGTTTTTCAAGTTGACTATACCACTTCATATTTCCATGAGTAATGTGTATGATCCAAACCAGAGAATATGATACGATCATACGATCCAAACCATATACCTCATTGTTATTTTAATTACATTTTCCTGATGACTTGTTGAACATTTCTTCATGTATTTACTGGCCATTCACAATGTTCTTCTGTAAAGTGTTTATTAAAATATTTTGCTCATTAAAAGATAGGGTTGGGCCTCCCCTGCTGGCGCAGCAGTTGAGCTCTGGGCTGCGAAGCTGTCCGCAGCCTCCTCAGAGCCGGTTCGATCCCTGGCTGCTCCGCGGCCACCGGAGGAGGGTCCCACATGGTGCACAGACCTCTCCTGCCGCCCGCTGCTCCCCTCAGCAGTGTACTTCGTTACTCTGCCTGTTCTGTTCCCTGCTCTGGCCCTGGTGAATTCTCTCACCCTCCCGTGCTTCTGACTGTACCCAGTGCTTGTATAAATAAATAAATAAATCTTTAAAAAAATAAATAAAATAAAAGATAGGGTTAATTGTCTTATTTTTATATATTTCCTTATATATATTTAACATAAGTCCCTTTGTTACCCACCTGGGGTTTCTTTCAGATGTTATAGTACCTTTTATATTTTAACAGCTTATGTTTTCTTTTTTAATTGAGATAATTAACATATAATATTGTCATCATTTCACGTGTACAAAATAATGATTTGATATAAAAGAATTTGACAAGGAAGCAGGGCAGATTACATCCCGACAGGTATAGATTTGCCCAACATAACTTCAAAATAAGCTTCAAAAGAATTAAACTGATCCTCAAGTAATTTTAGCACATTCAAGAACAAAATTCACTACTCTTTAATACAACAAAATATAGCACTCAATGTCATACTAATCATAAATCTAGCAGCCAATAAAAAATTATTAGACATAGGAAGAAACAGTAAAACATCATTTGTAATTTGAAGAAAAATACATCAAAGATTCAGAAAAGACAGAGATGATATGATTAGTGGGCTTTAGGGATCGTTTCACTTACCATTACTCAACGGTGGCCCTCCTGGACCCATCTACTGAGTGCTCCAGTTGCTTGTTCCAACCTGGCTGGCCAAAAGTTGAACATCTCCCAACCCTATGTGAACTGTTTGGCCAAAAAAATCCCATGCTGTTTCTTCTCCTTACCATTTGCATGTACCACTCAGTGTTCTGTAGTAGAATAGACAGCCTCAGGCACATATCTGGAAGGCCTTCTGTCTGCTCGGGCACTTCCCACTGCAAACCGCAGTTACCTCCATTCCTTTGAACACACGTCTCCATTTCCTCAACAAGACCGGAATCTTCTCGTGTTTCTTCTGCCTGAATTGTTGCCCAGAAAATGCCTCTGGGCAGAAAGCCAGAGAGATGGAAAGCTCTCTTTCTCTGTTTCCCTTCTCCCAGGATATCAACCCTACACTGCTTCTTGTCCAATGTCTCAAAAGAGTTTTCTTACTGCTTCTGACAGGGCAGCGAGTCTGCTTCAGTTACTGCATCCCAGCTTCCATGAGACATTCTTTTCAAAGAGATAAAATATAAAGAGTTGGATAACTAAGAATATAGAAGATGTAGTCAATTTGTAATTGCTTATGTTTTTTTCAATTGCCCCATAGAACTGAACTTGGCTTTATCCTATAATTTTATGTAACCACAAATAGATCCACACTAACTCTTCCTTTTCTATTAGACACTTTAATGTAAACTAAAGACATTCACTTGTATTTTGAATTTGCATTTATGGTATTTTATTATTTTGTTAAACAATTTTTATTCTGTCACAAGGTGGGACTCTCTCTAAGGATAAGTTTTGTTTTCTTATTTCATAATGGACAGGGGAGCAGCTAATCATTCAAAGGCAATTATAGAGAACATCTTTCTTTTCTGTCTTTACATTTTTCCTTTCCATTTGATGAATTTTTAATGAATATTTTGCAGTCCAACTTAAGTCCATTTCTCTAGGGAATCCTATCCAAATATTTCATCCCTGTTTAAGTAATGATAAAGCTAAACAACTTCCAGAAAAGAAACCATAAGATACAGTATCATTGGGTAGATGGAAGTTTCTCTTTCAGCTGGCAGTTCAAGGTAAATGGCCCAGGGGAAGCAGGGTAGCTCTCAACTGATTTTAACATCATCCTTTAGAGGCAGCTCCCTAGGAATTGCATCTGGATTATATTCTGGAACAGAATCCACTGCTGGATTATATTCTGTTCCAGAACAATGAGTTGAAGGGGAGGCCCAGGTTCGTATTTTAGAGCATTTTTCTAAACTGTGGTTCACATAGGAAATCCTGGCTGTTTATTGACTATCTTGACATTTTCATTGATTTCCAAGTAATAGCCCTTGGCTTTATTTTTAACATAAAGTTAGTATGTATTCCACTACAGAAATTTGTCATAGGACCCAAGAGCAGTGCCTGTGCTTAAAATCTCCTTTGTTTCACAGATAGCAAATGGACTCTCAGCTTGTGCTTAGCAAAAACAGCCTGCTTGTTATCATTTATTCTACTCGCATATCACCAAGTACCAGAGGGTGAGCTGCTTTCCATCTTTTTTCCTATTTAAACCTCCTAAGAAGTGCAGGCATTATCTAATTATCTGATCTTGGGAGTATTTTGTCTCCTTTATGAATATGCTTGCTAGCTTCAAATGCCTATTTCTGAGCTACCAAGGTCTTGGTCTTCATTTTGCTTGTAAACTATTCTATTTATTAGATTATTGTAAACCCAAATTGGTTTAAACCCCAGGGCAGCAGCATTAAGGAAGACAACATAAAACAGGCAATAAACTAAAGTTGTCATTCAGTCAGAATCTGAACATTAAGATAAAAAGAGGCCTAACAGGGGCTTTTGCTCTAAAGTAATTCACTTGTTTATTTAACGCTTCGATATTTCAGCCCCAGAGACGCGATGACTGATGAGGTATGTGTTGAGATGCATGTCAGCATGAGTATGTTCTGCTTGAGAGCTGACAGGCAGAAGTCAGTAGGTAAGATTTTTAAAGTCTCAAAATTAATATTTATCACCCTGCATACCTCCCAACTGTTCATGTGTCCCTTTTGATATCACCAATAGCTAACCCCCCAAGGAAAATGGGGAACTGTTATACTGTGTGCACTAATTCAAGTCACCACTTGGAGGGCCTCCTGCTCAGGGAACTTGAACTTTCAGCTCAAAGGTGAGTCTTGGCAAGTACATTCCATGGTCATGGGACATCATGCAGAGACAGGGAACCTCCCTGCTATCCCATCACCAATGCTTGAAATGTAAGTAGAGGCAGCACGGCTGAGTGCTACTGCAGTTCTCACAGTGAATTCGCATGATACTGGGTCTGCACAGTGCCTTCTCATTCAGGAAATATGTTCACTTACATTACCCAAGGATGGTGCCTTCTGCTCGTGGCCATCACTGAAACAAGGGTTAAAAAACATTTTTAAAAACATCAGTTAGAGGGCTTGGTGGTGCAAGGGGTTAAGTCACAGCACTATGAAGCAATCCTCAGCCACTGCAGCACAGGTTCAATTCCCAGCCAGGGAGGTGACCCACATGGCGCAGCAGACCTCTCCTGTCTCGCCCACCTCTCCTCTCAGCAGTGTATTTCAGTAGATCTGCTTGTTCTGTTCCCCGCTCTGTCTCTGGTGAATCCTCTCACCATCTCATGCCTCTGGCCTGTACCCCAGCTCTTGTATAAAAATAAATAAATCTTTAAATAAATACGTCTTTAAAAAATCAGTTAAACACATCCATAAAAATAAATATGTAAATGAAGTCAACAGTCAGAGAAACACTGCAAATAGGAATAGTGTAGCGAGTAACTATACTATGTAGATGACTAAATCTGTCCAACCTTAAAAACTGGAATGGAGTAAACATTAAGGGAAAGAAACCCATCTCCCTTAGTTTTTAAAAATGATCTGTTATCAGTTTCTTTCTGTCCTCTACCTACATATCTATCTACCTGCCTATCCATCTACCTTGCTTTCACAAAGACATAAAAGCTACATAAAATATAAATAATATTCACAACTGCAGCAGCAAAGTTCAGGTGCTTCATCTAGTGTCCTGAACATCAGCCAAGGCCCTTTGCCAAACAAGAAGTTTGTAGGATGTTAAAACAATGTAGTTTCAGCCCGTAGCTTTCTCTGCAAGGAAATTCTAATATTTCTGGCTGAATCATATTTTCCAATTTTACACACATATCTGACCCCTCTAATGAAAAGCTGAGCTGCTGACAGTTCAAGTTTCCTTTCCTCTGGAGAGCAGGTGTGTATGAGGACATAGCTTTTAAAGTTGATGCCAACTGATAGGAGAATACTTTGTGAAAACTGAGACACCACATCAGGACTCTCCAATGAATAGGCATGAATAGGCACCCCATCTTTCTGCCAAGTCTGCTCTAAGAACACAAACAGATAGACTGGCAGGACTGGAATTGATATTATGTGTTGCCTCGAATGGCCTGGTTCCAAGTTCTCTCCCTGCTATGGCTCATGAGGTTATTCAAATAACCCTCCTTGTTCAGGGGATCAGGTGCATTCCTGCTGATCCCTGAGCTACAAGTTCGGGTCCCTGCCAAGCCATGAAATTATCCCAGCAAGCCAAACACATCCTTCTACAGGAACCATTGGGCACCCCCCCAGCTCGATGCGACCCAGCCTGCCTCCCACGCTCCTAAATGTTCACTCTGATTCCCGAGTTGGTCATATAATCTGTGTGGCCCTGCAGGATGAGGAAAACATGGCCCCAAAGTTCTACCCCAAGTCACCTACTTTAGCCCCTTAAAGCGTCCAGACCAGGCATGGTAAGCGCTGGCTCTGTGGCTCTTAGCTCTTCAGTCATTTTTTTTTTAATAATAAATTTTATTTTTATATTCCCATATACAGTTGCAACCCCCCTTTCTGATCCCAATCCCTCCCCTCCCACCCCCCACCCCCCAAAAAGTGTCTCTGTTTCATAGTTTTTTGTTGATTCTGATTTTCACTTTCTTATAGTTATTCATTTTCCTGGTCCCTTATTTAAGTTTTCTAGATTCCTGCTATGAGTGAGACCATCCGGTATTTTTCTTTTTCTTTTTGGCTTATTCGCTGAGCATGATCCCTTACAGCGCCATCCATGTTGCTGAAAATTGCATGTGTTTATCTTTTTTGAATGCTGAGTAATATTCCATGGTGTATATGTACCACATCTTCTTGATCCAGTCATCTATTTTTGGGCATTTGGGTTGTTTCCAAAGCTTAGCTATTGTAAACAGTGCTGCTATAAACATAGGGGTGCAGGTGTTCTTTGGAATTGATGTTTCTGTGTCCTTTGGGTAAATACCTAGGAGTGGAATTGCTGGATCATATGGAAGCTCTATGTTTAGTAGGTCCAGAAATCTCCACACAGCTCTCCATAGTGGTTGGACCAGTTTGCATTCCCACCAACAGTACAGAAGAGTTACAGCATAGCAGGACCCTTTGTTGATTAGCCTCATCCTTCCTCCCACCCTCCACATTCATCATTTACCTGAGCTGTTGTTTTTTCCTGTTTTCCTCCAAATTTTGTAGTCCACCTCTGTGCCACTGCATGTGACTGATATTTTTCATTATTAAAAGCATTATCTTCCGTTCTAGTTACACCCATTCCAGCAAGAAACAGCTTTTACCTGTCATTATTTCTCAAAGTGGGGTGATCAGACCACCTGCTTGGAATCCACTAGAATTCCTGATAAAATGCAGATACCTAGATCCTATTGAACAGAACCCCTTGAGGGTTTGTATTTAAATCGTGCTCCTTGGGAAGGCTGTTGTACCCTAGGCGACTGGATGAAACACTGTATGAAGAAATATGTGTCACTCGCACACCCAGTTCTAGTAGACCTCAAGCTGAAACCAAGCCAGAGAACCTGGCTGTCACGGGAATTTAACTACAACAGCTTTGTGTTTTCATTGCTGCTCCTGTTTTAACACAGCCCTTTGTCTTTGGCACTGGAAAGAGAGTCTATTGTCCTGCGCACTCCCACCTCACAGGTATAGCTGGAGAGGCTAAAAATAGACCCCACCTACATAGAACATCCCAAAATGCAGCTGCTTTCTTCTTTCTAAGGCCATAATCCGAAACATTTGTTCTCAAATACTCTTGCTGGGAAGTCGCACGTGGGTTAAGAAAGCAGCGTGACCTCTGTTTAAAATACATGAGAGGGAAACAAAAAACCCTCAAACCTCAATTATTCATACTTGTTGACATTGTTTACAAATTGATTGACAAATATTGCATAGATTTTGGACTATTTGGTTTTCTGTTTTCAAGGATATATAGTTTATTCATCTATATTCAGAATTTGATAGTAAAAATTAATTCTTTGTTGGTCTTAAAATAATTTTACCCAGGAAAAAAAAAAAAGCTAAGAATGATCTTCATATAGATTCACTTTCAATATGTTCCGGAGATTGTGGAAATTAATGGTTTTAAACCTAATGTGAAGATAAGAATCATCTATAGAACTAATGTAGCATAGTATTTAAAAGTGCTTTAAATTGGAAAAAAAAAGGGAGAGAGTTTTAACTTCCCATTCTGGTTTTAAGTCCCAATTCTATAGTTATTAGCAAGGAGCCTTGGGCAAATTATTTAACCTTTTTTGTGCCTCCATTTCTCCATCTGTAAAATGGGCATAATAATAGTATGTACTTCATTGTTTTGGTCTAATGATTACACTATTTAATATATAAAGCTTTAGAAAAATATCAAAGCACATAATGTATTATTACTTAAAGGAGATTACTGTACTATACGATCAAAGACTTGAAAATTTCATCCTAAATAGATTCTTATAATCTACATTTTAAATAATTTTTTGTAATAATTCAGATGCCATTGGCTCATGAGACAATTTGAGACATAGCAATCTAAATCAGTGATCTTAACAGAAGTAGCATGCAAACAAGAGGATTTCTTGGCTATTGGGAGAAAATGTTAGTATTCTATTCTCCTATTTACCTTCTTTATCTAAAAATAAGAAATTGTTTTAATAGTATTTAAAATACTGATACTGAGGTCTTCATTAATTCAGACTGGGTTTAGATGCCACATACACATAGGGGGTTGGAGAGATTCCTTATGAGGTATTTGAATGGAAGGTAAGGGTTGATAGTGGCTTTCATTAATGGTTTGCTCTCAGTGCATGAGAATAGATTGAAATTTATGTTTCTACCTGATAAAATGGGCTTATAGATTACATTTCCTAGTTTTAAATTAGAGGTAGCCTTACAAAATAAGCAGATTATTTAAAAAATATTTTTACTGAGAAATTATTTGTCAATAATTCTAGCAATTTCAACAAAAGTGAAGAACAAGAAATGACAGTCACCATGTACCTCATCTCTTACACAATCCCTCTGCCAGCTACACCATCACTAATAAAAGCCATCTCCATACAATCTAACAAAAGAGAGGCTCCCAAAGATGCAGTTATTAAGGAAATTTAAATATTAATAACATCTGCTCTCCTAACTCTTTTATCCCAATTATATACTATGTCTTGATATACTAAAGAATATTAGTGCATTTAACAAGTTTGTAGATCATTAAGATAAATATTATGATTCAAGATTTTTTTGGTAACTAGTAAACTCACATATCTAGAAATAAACAACAAAAATAAGAGGTCATTTCACTAAAGTAAAATATAGTAGTGTAGTATGCAATTTGAAAGAGCTCATGATTTTAGATTCAATTGCTTTTTTCGAGCATAAAGTAATATTAAAGTCAACCTGAGCCTAATTATAATTGTCTTCCCCTTTTGGTTGGCCTCTGAGATGCTTTTTAAATGAAGCTATGTATGTAATAAGATATCTGGGTATATTTTCTTTGGGCAGAAGTTGGTTTCCTCTTAGCTTTGGGAGATGACTCAACAAAAAAGAGAATGTGAAGTGCACAAGAGTTAAATAGACACCAGA